ATTAATAAATATTTTTTAATTAAACTTAAAAAATTTAAGTTTTATATTGAGCCAAAAAGCGTTTGGAGACTTTTGGCAGGGGTCTGTAGAAGCAAATGTAACTATTAAAGGAAATTTTACATTAAAAAAAATAAAATGATAATTTAAATATTCAAACCGATCATGATTCTTGCATTGTAATTTTTTTTGATAAATTTTTTTATGCAAAAATGCCAAAAAATAAAAAAAATAAAATTGACAAAGGAAAGGCTCCTGAAGTATAAAGAACCAGAGCTTCTCTCACTGGTGTTTAAAAAAAGAAATTTGTTTAAAGAGTTTACAAAAGCCAAAACCTAAGAATAAGAAGCTTGCTCAAGAATATAATATTTCAGGAGGAATGATATGTGATATCTTAAAAGAAAAAGAGAACTAGTTAGAATTAAAATTGGATTCTTATAAGCTTCACTTAAAAGACAAATTAAAGTAAAATTTCCACAAATTGAAGAGGTTTTAAGTTTTTGGGTTGAAAAGGTAATAGAAAATAACATTACTATCAATGGTGAACTATTGGCACAAAAAGCAAATGACTTTGCAATATTAAAGGATCAGAAGGATGGGTGCGGATTTTAAAAAACGTCATAACTTGAATGTTACCTTAAACATGGAGGATCAGCAAATGCTCCTATAGAAGCTTTAGATGATATGCGTAAAAATCTTCAAAATATTCTTGTATATTATTTACCAAATGATATTTTTAATGCAGATGAAATTGGACTTTACTGGAAAATGGAACCAAATCATATATTATTAACTGGATCAGGTAAATATATTTAATTAATACTTAATATAAACAATTACAAATAAAACTAATAAATTAAATAATATTTACCTTAGTAGCAAGACAAAAATAATCTAAGAAACATGTTACTATTATATTATGCTGTAATGCTTAAGGAACTGAGAAACTTAAAGCAGTTTTTATTGAAAAAAGTAAAAATCCACATGTCTTAAAAAATATTGTAAAATCATTTTTTCTAGTACATTATTATTGAAATAAAATAGCCTATATGCAAGTTAGTATTTGGAATGATTGGTTAAAAATTTTGATACACACTTATGACTTCAAAATTGACATATAATTTTACTTTATAATAGTGTATCAACTCATATTTATATGAGATACTACTCTTACCAATATTCAGCTTCATAAATTGTCTCCTAATACAACAGCACATCTTCAACTATGTGATGCTGATATTATCAGAAGTTTTAAGGTAATTATATATTAATATTTTTATTATAAAAAAAATTGATTTATTAAAATTGATATATTAAAATTGATAAAAATTAATATATATAAGTATATTTATTATATAAATGCAATATCGAAAATTATTTTTGAAAAATCATATTAAAGAATTTGATTATAATTAAGAAATTAGCAAACCCATTTTTGAAATTACTATTAAAAAGGCAATCAAATATGTAGCAAAAGCATGAGATTTAGTTCAACCAGAAATAATTGTAAATTATTAGAAAAAAACAGATATTCTTCCATTTAATAATGAAGATATTAATATTAATGATAGAGATTCTCTTATCAGTGATATTGATAATATTGATAAAATACAAATTTTTATTAATCAATTAGCTTCTAATATTTATAAAGATCTGATTTCTGCAGAAAAATATTTTCAATATGAAAGAAGAAGAAAGTAATTATCAAATAATAACTGATAAAGAAGTTTTAAAATTTTTAAGAGAATCAAAAGAAAATATAAAAGAAAAAGTTGAAGTTCCTACTATTAGTAATTATAAAGTACTAATAGCACTTAAAAAAGTAATTATATATATTGAATAACAAGCTGAAAAATCCAATTTCAAAAAGAATAAATTTGTGCAATAAAAAAGTTGCAAAAAGTTGTAAAATAAAAAGAATTTCTTTTTAAGTAACAAGTTTCATTAGATTCTTTTATAGAATAAATTTTATAAGTAAATAAAATGAATAGAAATTTATAAAGTTTAAAGCAAATGATTTTTTTCTTTTTTACTAATTTATTTGAATATATAATAAATATAACAATAAATATTATGAATAATATACTAAACTTGTATATAATATTTGATATAATTATACCATTAATAAACTTAAAAATTTGGTATAATGTTATTGAATTCTTTTATTATAATAAATTTTTATCTTTGAAAATGAAAATTTGTTATAAAGTATTTTAACTGTATTAAAAATAATTACTTTAAATAAACATAGCTGTATAATTTTACATTGATTTAATTTTTTTTAAAAAATAAACTTTTAAATTTATTTTAAAGTAGTCATTACAAAAATAGATTATTTATTTATTTAACAATTTATTAAAATACAGATTTTCATAATAATACTAAAATCAAAGTATCACAAGTATTATAAAAAAATCCTATTATATTCTTATCACTGCTTAACTTATTTAAAAGATTGACTAGAAAGATCAAATTTTCATAGTTTATTTATGATAAAGAATTTAAGAATCTATCTAATGTTTGAATTTGATTTTAAAATGATTAAAGATATTTATAATAAAAAAAATCTATTAGTTTATTCTTTAATTAATATAAAATCAAAACTTTAAAAAAAAATTTTCAAGAATATTACATTATCTAACAGTATAAAAATTCATATTTAATTTGAGAAAGTAAACTATTTATATTTGTAAATGTCTTTTTATTATTCCAAGATAAATAAACTACATAAATTTCCAATCAATCTATTTTCAAGGAATCAATCATATAAATTCCCTTAATAAAGACCAAAAATAAGTTACTACAACAACAAAACTTAAAAATACTTAATTTAAAGAATTTGTAAAATATGCGCATCCAGTTGTTACATATCAGGATCTTGTTAAAAGAATTTGTATTATTGGATTTAATTGTACTAATTGAATATGATGATAATTTTTTTTATAATTTTATAATAATTTTTATCTAAACTTTCAATGATAAATATTAGAAATTTCGAAACCAACATTTCTTGTATCTTTTAATAGTACATAAAAAATAAAACTCTTTAAAACTCCCTTAAATGCAAATCATGAAAATTCGATAATGTTATAACATTACAATTCGATGACCTAAAAAATCTTCAGTTTCTGATAATTAATGTCTTATAAGTTCTCGGTAATTTTAATAATTTGCAGATAAATGCTGCGGAACTGGAAATATATACTTTTTTTTTTCGTAAAAATCTTAACTTTTAGTTATTGACGAGATTTATATCATCATAAAAAAATAAAAAAAAATTTTTTATTTTTTTAAGATAATATCTCACACTACAATCACTTTCATTATATGTTTAATAGCGACATGATTTTTTAACACAAAACAATTGTCCATTGCTCAATTCTTCTTTAGAGCTTTCACTTCAGTTCAATTAATACTTTCATTTTCTTCAACATGATGCTTTTCTCTGGAATTGATTACCCGGAACACTCACAATCATCCATGATAAAGGTATTATGGTATATTTGGGGCAAATTCTTATTTTTCGTAATATTGTTAAGTACAACTACCGCTAAATCACCATAGATCATGACCGAATCCAATATTATTCAATTTACATGACATATCACATATCAAATATCGAGAATGTTGCATCCTGTTTAAAATATATTCACCTTGCTCACAAGTATCTGAATTGGAACGAAAAGATAAACAAATCACCCGTCTGCAAATATGTATCAGATGAACTCCAAATTATTAAGGATACTACTACTACAAATCTCATTGACATCATCCTCATGAATGCTATCGCAACTATCAACTGCAAATATTATTAACTTTGATGACAAGCACTTTAACTAACACTAAGTTTGGACCTTAGTTGTCGCATAATTCATGAAATGTCTTTACGTTCATACCATCTCTATTACCTCTGAACAGCAATTGAAATTCAACTTTATCTCTATTCTGTTCTATCCACATGTTCAACATACCGGCATGTTTGGAAGTAACGTATAAAGAATCAATCTTACGTTTGAGTAAATGCATTGATAAATTGTAACTAATTCTAAAAGTGGTAATTCAGTAATAAAATAACTCCACATTTCAACTTCGCTAAATCCAAATTTTACGCTTAATTATCGTTAACAATGAACATCTTCCTAATCGTATAAAGAACAGTGTGGTGAAGGATTTTCACAAATTAATCGGCTACAATGATGGCTAATAATGAGAAAGTTGTCGAATATGTGATGATAAAATATGGGACCTTTTCAATAGAAAGGGAAAACTGTCAGAAAAAATCAATTTTACTTCTATATGCCAAATATGATTTTTAGGTCAATATATGTTCAAATTTAGCATTAACTCATTTTTTATTTTTTCCAGACGTTTCCCGCTAAGGTCCGATATATGTACGAAATTATCATGTAATCATTATCGATTATGTGTGATTGAATAAACTTCAAATAGATCTCGCATGTCTGGTTCTTTCAAGCCGCATAACCCAATATAAATTTTTATTAGCATAGGGACATTTCTAATTTAGTGATTATCTGTCGATCATTATCGATCATTAACGATCACTTGCGATCATAAATAAAAAAATATAGAAAAAATTATAGGCATATTATTTAAACTATAAAGTTGTAAAATCAAAACAAAGATAAAACAGAAGAACTTTTTTGTACTAAAAAGTTTTCCGCTAATCATCTTCGTCTATAGTTGCTTCTCTCCTATCTTCTGAATTTTCTAATACTCCTTTTGATAATCTGTCCATAATTTTGGGAAAAGTTTTTAAACAATCACTATGATATGCGTGACCACAAATTATTTATTTAGAAATACCTTTTTTTTTACTGTTACACCGGTCATTATTGAATCGGTGGCTTAGAAGCTTAACGTTACATGATTTACCAAGTGCATTTTTTTTTGCTTTTTCATTTTACAAAAATTAAAAAAAATAAAATGCAAGACAATAATTCAAATGTCTGGATAAATTTGATAGAGGAATATATTTTAAGAAATAAAATCAAATGCTACGAATACGAACATTTTAGCAATATTCAAGAGATTGGTACTGGCAGCTTTGGAAAAGTCTATCGTGCAAATTGGAAAAGTTTAAGGCATCCTCTCGCGTTAAAATCCTTTCATAACCTTAACAATGACACGGTTAAGGAAATAGTTCGTGAGGTAATTACAAATGTTAAAATGTATTTCAGTCTATTTCAATCTTTTAATATAAATCATTTATATATCAAACTAAAATTAATTTTTTAGCTCGAACTTCAAAGTGAAGTCGATTTTCATGATAACATTATTCGCTTTTTAGGGATAACTTCAAAACAAAGTATGTAATGTTCATAATAGAACTTATTAAAGATATATATTGATATTTTTATATTTATTTATATTTATTTTTAACTCATTAATAAATTTTTAAAAATTAAAAAAAATTTTAGAAAATAATGTTCATTTGAAAAAGTATTGGTTAGTAATGGAATATGCTGATGGCGGCTCACTTAGAACCTATTTGAAGAATAATTTTAATAGGCTTACTTGGGATGATAAATACAACTTTTCTTTTCAGTTGGCTAGTGCTGTGTCATGTATTCATGAAGAAGGAATTATACATCGTGATTTGGTAACCTTACATGATATCTGTATCTTAATTTATTTATGTATTAATAATTAATAAATAATTTTTATAATTTTATTATAGCATTCTGACAATATTTTAATTCATCATGATATTATTAAACTTGCTGATTTTGGATTATCGAAAAGGATTGAAGCGGCATCTAAACAACAGTCAACAGTCTTTGGTGTAATTCCTTATGTTGATCCAAAAAGATTTGGTGGACGAAATAGAATTGCCAATAAATCACAGCAAGTTAATCTAACTGAGAAGAGTGATGTTTATAGTGTTGGCGTATTGTTATGGGAGATCTCAAGTGGTCGACCTCCATTTTATGTTGAAGGTGAACCATACGATATTGATTTAGCCATTGATATTTTACAAGGACTCAGAGAAAGTATCATTCCGGGTACGCCTGAAGATTATGTAAAAATTTATACTGGTAAAGACTATTATAAATTATAATTATAAATTATAAACTTAAATTTAAATATAATATTTTTAGACACTAAATTATTTTTTATGGTTTTAGAATGCTGGGACAGCGAGCCAGACAATCGTCCGTCTATTAACAAAGTGGTTGATGAATTAAATGCAATTATTACAAAAGAGAATATAATAGAGTATGATCAAATTAAGAATAAAGAATCAAACCTTCAATCATCAGAACAAAAAATTTATTCTAGTATGAATAATTCATTACATGGGGACTTATCTCAATTGATTCAAAACTTTAATCAAATGAATGTAGAAGTA